CAGGCGGGAATTGAACTCATGCGGAAGTGGCCTTAGGTTCTCAGTGTTGTGCTTTAACCCGCTGCACCACCAGGGAGGGCCAAAACCACATCTTTTTAAAAGATAAATACATCAAGTGAAGCTGCTGGACTACAGGGCTGGGGCCCAGGGCACAAGCGTGTCCAGGGTTCTGGTGGGATTTGTGTCTAAGGGCACTCTGGGGCCCCCCACAGGGATTGGGGGTTACTCAGGAGGGCAGAGGGTAAACTTAAGAGGCCCAGAGTGCTCTAACAACTCAGGAGAACTGGAGCACTTAGGGGTCTGGAAGAACTTGAGGGTCTCAGGAAGGGAAGGAAGGTAGATGAGGTTCTCAGGAGGACTGGGGCAGTTCCAGAGATCCCCAAGTCACTTTGGAGTCCAGTGGGGATCTAGAAGAACTCTGGAGGCCTGGCTGGGCTTCTAGGTCTCAGGGGAACAGGTGGGGGCCTCAGGGACCCAGAGGAGTGGGCAGTTCTGGCTGCACAGGGCTCTTTGTGGAGGAAGTGGGTGGAAGGGGAAGGGATAGCCCTACTACTGGGTGAAAATTCCTGGAGCCTTGTAGTCCATTCATGAACTTAATGTGTGCAAACTAAGCAAAAAACAATAAAACATGCATGCTAAAACCTATCCACTATGCACCTGAGAAATTAGAGTTAAATGCCAGGTGCCCTGAGATGGTCCTGCCTATCCAGTTGGTGGCTGTACGAGGCCTCAGCTCTGCAAGCCAAATAGGGCAGACCACAGGAGGTGAGGCACCAGTAGGAACCACTCCTGTCACTATCCTAGGCAACAGGCCAACTTCCACGTTCTGGTGACTTGAATCCACTCACATCCAGTGAGTAGCCTGTGCAGCTGCCCCCATGGGCATCCTCATGGACCTCACTCCTTAGGATGTACTGTGGGACTGAGGCCCAGAGCCAGAGATGACCAAGCAAGGAATAGAGTCTAACATTCTGCAGAATCGGGGACTCTTGTGTCCCTGGAGTGACCCTTTGCAGAACCTTCAGGGGTGCCCTTTCCTCTCATACCCCTGGGCCTGGTAGTCCAGAGTGTGCTTCTGCATGTGTGAAAATGTGTGATCCTGGAGAGTGCACAGAATCTGAGCAGACATGAAGGTTCCCATTATCCCCAGCTCCCTTATAAGGTACAGACAAGGAGGCAGTTCCTCAGGAAGCTGCTCTAGCTCCTCCTTCTTCTTGCATAATATCCCTTCCTGGAGCCCCAGCTGAGCCAACTACAGGTACCTAGCTGTCCTTCTGCAGCCTAAGGACCTCCTGGGGGTCCTCCCAGCCTGCAAGTGGGGATTTCAGTCCCTCCCTCTGCCCCACCTGCTCTCATGCCAATTTTCCTAAACCTTAGTGTCCTATTACTCTGGCATCCCTTACATGAAAAGATGAAAGACAGTGGCTAAATAGCTGGGACATAGGGCTGCCATAACACTTGGGCTGGGTCAGGGGCTCACTGGCTACTCCAACGTCAGGCCTATCCAGTGGAGTCTGTCCATGAGCCCTGTAGGCCATGGTGCTGGGCAGGCACTTCCAGTCTTTGGTTCTTGTGGGAGGTGGCAACTGCCAGCTCCTGTTGCAGATAGCTGCATTGTTGCAGCTCTGTCTTGATGAAGAGAATGAATTTTGGGTTTTGGCCAAGCTGGAAGCTCCGACAATGTGCCACACATGATGGGTTGTAGCAACAGGTAATGGGTGCATAGCCTCAGCCCCTATTTCCTGCCCCTCAGCCTTTCCTTCTCCTATCAGTTCTCACAGACCTGCATAAGAATCCTGTCTCATGTCTGGCCAGCCAGTCAACCATCCCCAGGGCCAGGGTCAGATGAAGCCTTGCAAACCCATTCCTATGTGGGCATTTATTTGCCTCCAAGTACAGGAAATGGCCATGCAGTCCTGTCACCAAAACAGAGCTTCTGCCTGTGTGACCACTGTGGAAGGGGCCAGCCTGGGTGCCACAAGGGATGTGGCTCTCTGCCACTGGCATCATTGTTTCAATGCCAGGCCTGCACTCTGGGA